ATAATAAGGCTCGCACAAAAGAACAACGCCCCACCCCTTGTCGCGAGTCATCCTGGAGGAAAAACGCTCGTCCTGCTCCTATATGTGATGGGTACATTTTTAAAGCGGTAGCTAATAAGGGAGCCGCTCAGCTAAATAAAGCCTCCTCCCGTGTACTCGCGGGGGGGTTGTTGTGTACATTACAGGTATACTGCAGGTCGGTCTTATGTACGGTGTATGCCGGGAAGAAAGGAGGGCTCGTCTCGCCGATTTCACGTCCGGCCGGATTTCTGTGGAAAATAATTGTTGAACAAAACCCAGGGAGCCCCGAAGGGAGGTGGGCAAGGAAAAACAAACGCGCGCACGGAAATCACCGGCTTTTGCGTGGAGCGGTAAAAAAAACTTAAAAAAAAAAAAAAAAGAGCGTATGCGCGCAGAGAAGGTGAATCCGGAAAAAAGGGTCTTTTCGAGCGATTCCGTCGTTTGCAAAGGGAAACACACGGAAGAGATTTGGAAAAAAGGGGCAAAGAATAGGCCGATGAAGGAGATGGAAAACGGCACGCACACACATATATTATATTATATAAAGAGGAATACAGTATATAATAAACCTGTAGCCGCTCGTTGAGACGTATGTATGTATATATAAGCAGGGCCGACTCATTGCACTGTATCCGCACGTATACGTGTTGCATTGTTTCCACTTCCTCACCCTCCTATACCCCCTACATCCTTTTCTACCTTCTCTCTTTCTTCCCTTTCTCAACACTCACACACGCGCACACCTCGCGAATCCCTTCTTTTTTATTTTTTATTTCGCGTACCCATATAATAGGTGCAGCGGCGTCGTCGTCGCGCGTCACTTGCGCCGCTCTCTCTCTCTCTCTCTCTCTCTCTCTCTCTCTCGGACACACGCTCTCCTATCTCTTTCTCGCCCGTACGTGTATGTAAGTATATATGCCTTCCTTCGCTCATCCTTGGTCGTCGTCGTCGTGCATGTGTATAGTATAGCGGGAGGGGGTCTATGGCCTGGAGCGTGAACTCTCGTGGAGAACACGAAGGGCAGACGAAGTGTTTGCGAGCGAGACGCCGTCCGGAGGAGATCGCTTCTTTTCGAAAAAAAAAAAAAAAAAAAAACATACCCTCGGTGCAGTCTAGGAAAGTGTGTATGTGGGTATTTTTTTTTTTCAACCGTAGAGCTTTTTCTAGGGCAAATTTTTCCGGAAAACCAAACCAAGCCTCGTTGGGGCACCCTTTTCCTTTGGACTCTCATTTTTTTTTTTTTTTTTTTTTGCGTGCGCCGGGGCTAGACACCGCGAGATGAAACAAAAGTCGACACCTGCTCGAGTGATTAAAAAAATTTTGGATTTTTTTTTCCACCCTGGCGCACATGAAATTAAAAAAAAAAAAGAATTTTCTTTTGAATCCACAAAATAATAGTCCGTAAGTCTAATTGTAGTCAAAAGCAGCAGCGACCGTAGTTTGATGCAAATTATGTATACCACCTGTACCAAAAGATTCTTCCACCCAGTGTTTGGGTCAATACGACTATTGAAAAAGACCACTCCGTATAGTTTTGCATAAATCCACCCCCAAAAATAGAACTACACAGAAAGAGATAGAAAAAAAAAACCAACATCAACTCTGCCGTGACAAATACGAGAAAAATCCCCACTTACTCGTGAAAAACTCCCTAATGTATACACGATGGTGGAGAAAACTTTCTAAGCGAAAAACTGCTAATTATGAAGTATTTTCTCCCCCGCGGAGTGTTTTATACATCACCCCAGTATACACACACGTCTACGTTATCAGCAAATTTTTTCTTCCCCCCACCCACCCAAAAAAAAAGGGGGTTACAACGCGTATGTGCTGGATTTTTCTTCGCTCCTGGTGAGTTGAAACGCGCGCTCGCCCACACCCCCGCACTGCTTTTAATTAGTTACGGCGTGGAGCCATTCCAGCGCGAAAGGAGTAACCCGTATTAATTATAGACAATGTAATATTATACACGGATACTCTTACGCGCGTCGAAAAACACGAATTTTCATCCGTAATTGTGTATATTTTTTACATAAGTATATATATATATTTATATACACTTTATAGTTCGTCCAAAGTAGCTGTATGACAAGTTGTATAATATATTTGATCAACGGAGCGTCAAACTTCCCCATTATATGTGTGCTCCTTAATTATAATTTCGCGCCTCGGTGGCCTGTCAATGATTTTGCCGCTCGTTATATGTGACGCAAACACATTTACACGAGGACCGTGTAATTACACCTCAGGCTCGTTATTACGACGTTACTTGGACCTCGAGTGCGCGCATGTACGTATCTTATCAACCCTCCCCGTAAGAGCGCAAAGTGAATGATGTGCGTAATGCACACCGAAAAAGTATACGACATTCATCGGAGCCACGGAGACTCGATCGATCGATTTTACAAAAAAGTACACCCTATATAGCTCCAGCGTGCGTGTATATGTACACGTCAGGCGCAAAACTTTGATCACGCGCTCGATAGGGCTCTCTCTGGCTTCCCTTCAATTTTCATAATGCGCCCTCGCTCCCCGAGTTTTCGTTTGAGAAGAAGAAGAAGAAGAAAAAAAAAAAAAAAAAATACTCGGACGACCAATTGTCCGGGCGACTGTATACATGTGGGTGCATGATACTACTTACAACTTTAGAGGCAAGGTGTACACTTACCCGACACAGAACCCAACTCTCTCTCTCTACTTACGCATGTACAACCTATAATGTATACATATATACATACATATACGTGTCCTCTCGTAGCTGTCGTCGTCTGTCGCGTCGTGTACTTGTACTTTTCTGCAGCGTGCTACTCTTGGCTTTTTTTTCCATCCCCCACTCGAGCTGCACCAGCCCCTCCCCCCCCATGTGTATGTATATAATACGCTCCTTTGTCTTGGCCCCGTGTCTTTCCAGCAAGGCTTACGATCGCCCCCTCCCTCCAACCTCTTCTCCTTGACTTCTTCTTCTTCTTCTTGGTCTCTTTCGTCGTGTGTCTCATGTATACATACACCGTGCAGGTGATCCTTTTTTCGCCTCGGCGTAAACCTATATCGTCTCTCCTCCCCGGTGCGAAACAAATCCTTTTCATATCCGATGCGCCCCTGGATATAATAGGCGCGCCGGCCAACAAAAGAAAAATCCAAAGTGTATGCATACAGGGGTGTGCGACAACCCCCCCCCCCTTTAATATTTTAATAATCGCCTCGCGGCGCGGCTATGTGGGTGTATACACGTATATAATATGTGGGGAGTCACCGAGGGGGAGGGTTGTTGTGTGCTCCCCGGCTTGTGCGTACTGTATACTCGTGGTTTTTCCGTCGTTCTTGCACTGACCAAGGTACCAACTTTTCTCGCGCAACGATACCTTACGTGTGTACGTACGAGCGTGAATTTTACATTTTTTTTTAGGGAAAACTATTGTTAGAATATCGAATCTACCGTGGGTAATTTTTTTGTCTTTTACTTGGTGCACGGGCATTTCGTTACTGATGAACTATAACGAAATAACACTGTCGCGGAGTTCAAGGTTACTTTGCGATGTTGAAAACCAATGATACAATCCACTGTTATTATGCACAGTTCGGAAGAAATGTTATTACCTTTCATAGTTTTCGCGCATGCATCACATAGTCGTGTTGAAGGCTTCTTTTCTAAATTGTTCTCCTTTTTATTGAACTGTAGCTCATAAGATTCACTCAAATTAAATTTAAAAATCAAATTTATGCACTTTTCGTGCAGTCAACTGCAAAATTCGTAAAAAAAAAAAATAAAAAATAAAGATCCATCGATGCATCCATTAACAAGAAATTCAACTCGTTTCACCATCTACCGGAGTCTCAACTTTTTCCAAGAGATCCAAAGTAAAAAAGTACGTCCTTTGTACGAATCCATAGCAAGGCAAGTACGTTCGTACGAAAAAAAAAAAAAAAAAAAAACCCGTGAAAAGTCAAACTCACAGAGAGGAGCATTATCCGCGGCACACCATCATCATAGACAAGTATATACACACAATGTGCCCATATAACACACATATGGGTGCTCACTGCAGCAGGGCGCATCACTCGAAGAGATCGGAATCATCGTTTTCCGGTTCCCAGCGGAGGGTCTGCGCCGAGCCGTGACGATATCGTCTCCACGTACACACACACGCGTATATACATCTTCTACGCTTCTCCATCCTTACCCAAAGGGACACGCCGCATCTCTCCCTCTGTATGTGTATATACATATATAGAGTGGCGCTCCACCCAATCACTTGACTCCCTCCTCCCCTGGTTATATAGGTATACGTAATAGGTGTAACGGGACGTCGACAGCGACGTCGTCTAATCCTTGCATTGCATCTAACGCACGCACGCGTCGACCCTTTTTTTTTTTTTTTTTCTCCCGCTGCCGAGCCTCCACCCCTCCTCCTTCTATATACTTCTACTCCCGCACGCGTTTAGCATGTAATCCATGGGGTACACACGTGCGAGCGCTTTACTTCTTCTCCATTTCGACTTTATTTTTCCTTTCATGTGTGTATATACAGTTGCAGAGATGATGATACTTTTGTCCATACAACCACGTGCACGTATATATATATACGGTACACGTTACGTAGACTCGTAAAAAGCCCCTCAGCGGGGGTTGGTGTGGGATCTGTTTCGAATAGGGTGCATTATCTATACTACACTTACGTACACACACACATATATATATATATGTGTATATTTTACGATTGTGTCACATATATGGGCAAAAGAGCTTTTATCGCGATTTCCAGACTCTTTTTTTTCTTCTTCTCCCCCCCCTCCCTTTATCCAGGGGTCGGGATTTGATCGTTTGATCGAGTACCAGAGTAATCTTACGTGTAATATACGTATATATATATATATGCGCGCGAGAAGAGTGGTGGCTGTGGGAATTGGGCATCTGGTTTTCATCTCCCCCGAGCCGACTTGTCAGATTCATGTTTTCGGTGTCTGTTTGCTTGTTGCAGAACTCCAACTTGGGCCAGGAGTTGCTGGACAGGGTCTTCCGGCACCTCAACCTACTCGAGACTGCGTACTTTGGACTGCGCTATCTCGACCACGAGAGCCAAACGGTAAGCCTTATACACTTTTCTAATTATTACGCTACATTATTGTAGCGGTGGGATATTTATGTTTTCATTCGGTCCCCTCACGCGGAGTGAGAGAGAGAGAGGGTGTCTGTTTTTTGAATCGGTAAAAAAAATCTCGAAAGTCGCTTGAATACCTGTACCCAAGTCATTTGAAACCTCAAGTCACTGAAAATGCACCAATGTCATTGTACAATGATCGAGAAAAATTGTTTTCGAAATTTGTTTATTCGTTCGCATTCGTATGGTGGCATTGAAACCGAAAGTTGTCAATTGCATCGGTGCGTTTAACTCAGTCCTAAAGATTAAACGATCGAAAAATTGAAAGAAAACTTTTCATCCTTTCGGGTAGTGCGGATGTGTAAATTAATAAGTAGTGGCACGTAGTGAAAATTGCATAGTAGTCGGTAATATTTAGAAACCAAGGGATGAAGAAATAGTAACATTAACCGAGGAGAATATTTATTTTCAATGAAATCCCTTCGTCGAAGTCGTCGCAAAACGTCTCGTTAAAAGTTTCTCGAGCCGAGTATTACGTATACGTACGTACTTATACGTATATAGTCCTCGAATCGCCGAAATCAAATAGTAATCAGATGTTGACAGCCGGAGTGACGTACAGAATATATGTCTCCCTCAAACGCCGGTCTATTATCGCCAAATTGAAAAGTGACAAACTGCTAAGTCGTAAATAATAACGTGGCGACGAGCAGTACGAGGGCCAGGTGGGGGCGTGTACCAATAGCGTCTGCCTGCGAAAGTAAATTGTCAATTTTGTTGAAAATCGATCTCTCGACGGCCCGGGGGCCGCGACAGCGCGTTGGCAGACTAATCCACAATGTATACATATATAGACATTTGGCCAAACTCTCGGATGGACTTTACATTGATGTAATACATATATATGCAGAGGTACGTGTGAATAATTGAGCACCGATGAATATCCATACTCCATTTATATATATATATGTATATATACGTCAGGAGGATCGGGAGGGCCATCAGAGACGGGCAAATGTCTCTATTCGCGTTTAATTAGACAATTTCCTGCGAGCGACCTTTTCTCCTTCTCTTTCTCTCTCTCTCTCTCTCTTGTATAATTTCATCCCTTTTTAATTGAATTCGCTGAGTGTATGCCTACGTGGGTATAATACACCGATATAAGTAGATCCATCAAAACGTGAAATTATATACTTAATGCATGAAATTCGAAAACGAAACTATTCGTCGCAGCAATGGCTCGACCCGAGCAAGAAGATTGGCAAGCAGCTCAAGCCAAAAAAGGGCGACCTCAACCCCGACGCTCACACCCTCTACTTCTGCGTCAAGTTCTACGCGGCCGATCCCTGCAAGCTCATCGAGGAAATCACCAGGTACTCGTACATATACGTATACACACATATAAAAATACACGCCCACGCACACGTGTCATTGTATCGCCCGACACTTGATGTAATATGCACACACGCGTTGCGAGAGCCACTGCTTGGCTTCGTCGATTTTAATTAATCCGCGGCGAGACACAGTCGGTGCACTCAGGGGAAAGAAAAATCTATAATTAGAATATATATCCACGGAAGTTCGAACTTTGGAATCGGCCGTACATCGACTCTGTACTTCCCGCGTGTATATATGTACCCCCTTCGCTTTCCCCATACGTATGTACACACACATGGTGTATCGAGGCTCTCTACATCGGGAAGGGGGTGGGATTTAATTATAAATGAAAAATTTCTCGGATCGACCTTACCTACCCTCACCCCTGCCATCCCTATCCCTTTTGGCTCTCGTTAGCTCCGCGCGATACATATTCGTACTTTGTATATATGGTTTCCGTATATTTGTGCACCGCAACTCTGAACGATTATGCGTATACCCATTATACGCGATGGATTTCATACACGCGCATACCGTATATTATATATATATACACTGTATACGCGTATCCCGAGTACACTCGAATTAATTATGGCGCGTGCGACAGCGTGGGGGTGCGCGTAATTATTCACGCCTGATGGCGTTTGTTTTTCGGGCCGATAAGCTCTCAAAGTCTGAAAAATCAAGATCCATAGGAGGCTGGAGCGCCGACGAGGTATACGCATCATATATATTGGGCAGACAAGAGAGGAAAAAAAAAAGGGAGGAGGGCCAAGGAGCTCGGCGCCCCAAGGCCGTACCCAAGGGACCCCGGCAATTAAGTTTGGCTCTCCGATTACCTGCCGGCTAGTCGAAAATGAAAATTACAAGGCCGACCCGCTCGTGTTACCTATACCACCTCCTTTCCGTCGTTTGGTTCCTATCGATACGTTGTGCAGCCATCCTCATCAATATATTTATCATGTACGGGTTGGTTTTATTTGCTCCTCGGACTGAAAACTTCCCTTACCGGTATATATATGGAGATACCTCGAAAGTTATGATTTCGGAGAATCCCCGCCGTATGTGACTGACAAATGTTACCGATCTCTGCGCTCGATTTTGAGTTATTTGTCCAGGCTCGCGGGTATTTTTAAGGGACTATTTGTTTTTGCTATCATACTTCTCTATACGATATACAAGTTTTTTTTTTTTCTTTTTGGCACGCACCGCTGATAAATTCGCGTATTGACTTTGGCTGATGGATAAAAGCAATTTCGGGTTCGGAGCCCTCTGTGTTTTTTTTTTATTTATATATTTTTTCAAACGTATGGCTTTGAATCAATAGCTTTTTCATGGATACAGGAATCCGAATGTATGCAACGAAATAAATGACATTGCGTGAACGAAGGACGTATTTCGCGTTTTTTTTTTTTTTTTTTTTCCCTACACGTACGAATAACGGGTTTTAATTTGAAATCCATGCAGGGGAGAAGTGATTTTGGAAAAGTATGCGTTGGATCGGCTCGTGAAAAATGCGCCGAGAAACGGAGATCGGGAGGGCGAGGAAAGCTCATAAGACCAGTCGAGTGCAGCTGCTGGCGTTCGTCCGTCCCACACCGTCAAATTCTTCAAAACGAATAGTCGGAGCCAATAACTGTGAGCTTTTGTATCGGACGTTCGGCTCGGCGCGAATGAAAAAATTTTTCGCATTTCGCGAACTTTTTAACTACATGCGAATCGTTACGTGAGAGTTTTTTTTTTTTCTTTTTTTTTTCTTGCACATCTTTCAGAGTAATTGCTTTTTCTGTGACTAAAAAAAAAAAAAAAAAAAAATTCGTTGGAATACGAAACGCTTTACAGTTCGAATTTTATTTGAATTCGTAAAATAATTGCATGTTTCGCTCGCCTTTTTATTTTACTTTTCGACGGAAAAAATTACTAGATGGATGAATTTTTTTTCCTATGGCACATCATCAATATAACATTTTTTACTGCACGTGCACGTAGGTATCCATTGCAGAAATTTTTCGAAACGAAAAAACTTGTGCGAATCAATTTTAAATTAAATTTTAATCACGTTGAGTGATTACGACATTTCAATTACTTTAACCACATTTTCTTATTGATTTTTGTTTCATTCAAACAAATAGACATTAATAACAATCCATCAGCTAAATATTTATTTTAAACTATATGACACGTGTTTTAAAACAATTAATAATATTTTTTTGGGTGAGGCCTTGAGGACATACTAAGGTACTGATACATGTGTATAGACAGATGGCATCACAGTTTTCTCGAAGCCCCAAGTCATAACAACATTAATCAACTACATCTCATTACTCGCAACGCAACGATAAGATGTTTAATATTATTAAAATCCGTGTCACGAGAAATATTTTGTACACGCGCTTAAAAATTGCAAGTAGCACGGAAATACAAAGAAAAAAACCTGTTATTTAATCAGAAAAAAAAAAGAAATATTTCACGCCTCTCATTTGCAGGTATCAGTTCTTCTTGCAAGTCAAACAGGACATACTCCAGGGCAGACTTCCGGTGTCTTTCGACCTCGCAGCCGAGCTCGGCGCCTACGTCGTTCAATGTAAGTACACGCACACTATATACTTTTCAAAAGGAAAAAAAAAAACAGCCAAGCGCACGCAGTGGCAATTCCATCCGCCCTATAAACACAAAAATCCACTCATCTCTCTCTCTCTCTTTCTCTCCGGTCTCGTACAAATCCCCATTAGCCGAAGCGCGATGGGCCTGATTAGAGCTTGCAACATTCATATCTCCAATCTTTCAGAACCCACGCCGGCTCTTCATTTGCAAATACACCCCGAAAAAAAAGGTAATGTAAGTACTTACTCTCGGCAACGTCAATCAGCCTTACACAGTCGCGAGCAAGCCTTTCACTCGCGAGCCTTACCTCTCATTCGGAAAATAAGCGGAGATGAGTCTCCGAGCGCACTGGGCCATCATCATCATCAGCTCGCTTGACACGAAAAATTTGCCAACCCCCGCGTCTTATTCCAATGCCCATCGCCCTGTGCACATATTATACAATGTGCCCACGACGAGGGGCTTCCCCTTTTGAGCTACGAGACGCAGCAAACATACGAGTCTATCTCTATTTGCGCGGACTTTGAATCTCGTCCGCGAGATACGGGTAATGCACCTCGGCCCTTTTTTTCCCTACCGCGGCAGCAGCCCGTCTTCTGTACTTATTTCATACGTCATCCGTACTACGTCGGGAAAAAGATGATGGTCTCGCTGAGCTTTTTTCCGTCGTCTTGACTTCTTGATGTGTCTTTCTGCGGCGGACAGATAAGGAAACTCTGTCTCTGTGGCACTCGGTCTAATTCCACGGGGAGTAATGGGCCGAGGGTGCTTTTTCTAATCTGCTTTATGTTTACCTCCCTTTCTTTCTCTATACCCTACAAGTATAAGTATACGGCTAGCTCCGTTCGGCGTGTTTGCCGATCTCGGCCGTTTCGCGGAGATTCCCCGGCCGCGATACTGCCGTATTTATACATACCGTTTGTCCTGTGTACGCGGCTTCCCGGGCTGTTACGTGCACCCGCGAGCGCGTATTTTTACGTGCGCGTATATATAACTTGCACCCTGGAATTGAATTTCGCCGATCGCCGGAGAGTCTCCCTGTGTACCGCGGATTAAGCTGGGACTTTACGACGTTTTTTTTCCCCTTTCTTTTTCCTCCCAGCTGCGTTTTACGATATTGCAGCGACTCCGATCGGGGCGGTTGGGGATCGTCTAAACGCAAGAGTATTTCTCGCGTTATCCGATAACACGTTTTTCGGCCGCCTCGTTTGAGTTTTGTTGGGTGATGATGTCGCGTTTACGGCCAAGTGTCTTACATTTTATCTCTGGATTTCATTTGGTGGATTGTTTTTTTAACTCCTAGAGGAAATTTTTCGGTTATGATTCAGATTCAATGAATAAGAAGGTTCATTTTTTTTTTCTTATGCAAGTTTTGGTGTTATACATGCAAGGGTTGTTATACAATAAATATTTTTAGTATAGGCACGCAAATACCAACTTTGACATTGTTCTACACAATAAAATGAAAACAGCCTCTGCCGTTTAGATTTGTCTTCTTTATTGTCTACGATCACTTTTCTTTCTTTTGCTGATGCGTTTTCATAATGCTTACTTCTTGTAAGCTTCGTATTAATAAAGATTTAACGATATCACAAATATTAATACAAGCTTTTATTGAACACTTAAATTTAAAAATATTAAATCGATATTATTTTTCAATACAAAAGTTTTTTTAAACGTTGCCTCATATCAGTATCGTGAAATTTTATTTACACCAAACGAATGATGTATTTTAGTGGATCAGATGAGAAATAATTCATACAAATCACTAACTATCGACCTTATGTGTGACAGTAGCATGAAATTAAAATTACTATTACATTTTATCTTTGACAACCCTTAACTTTTTTTCTAAAAACAATACCACAAATACTATTAGTTTCGAGACGAGTACAGAAAAAAAAAATTGAAAAAAAAAAAAAGAAAAAAGAAAGACTTCTCTTCAACGAAAAGGACAATGCGTACCGACTTGGGTAAATAATTGGAAGAGCCGAGAGAGCGGCGCGGATAAATTGCAACCGATACGCTCGCTTCGCAGTGTAAAGGCAGAAGCTGCTCGTTTGGTCAGAAAAAAAAAAANAAAAAAAAAAAAAGAATAGTCAAAGAGTAAAGATGATAACGCTATACGGATGGATATTTTCCAGCGGAGCTCGGTGATTACGATCCAAGGCGTCACTCCTACGGCTACGTGTCCGAGTTCAGGTTTCTCTCGAACCAGACGTCCGAACTCGAGGCGCGGATCGTCGAGCTGCACAAGACACTCGTGTAAGTCGATACTCTGCTTTCATTGTATATGTCTACCTATGTTCCGATGATTAGATATCCCCATTGTTCCTTCGTCTCGTTTCCTTTTTGGTAATTACAGGGAAGCTCTTTAGACGACAAATTTTAATTAGTTTTAGTTTTTTTTTTTTTTTTTTTTTTTTTTTTTCTCGTTAAAAAAAAAACAAATTATTTTTTGATACCCAGAGGACAGTTACCATCGGCCGCCGAGCTGAACTACCTGGACAAAGTGAAATGGCTAGACATGTACGGCGTCGATCTACATCCGGTGCTGGTGAGTGCAACTTCCCTTTTGGCCATTTATACCTTTTTTTGCTCGAGATTTAAAATACCTGGCTTGGGCACAACTCATTATTTTATGGATCTATAAATACTTTGGAAGAAAATTTTTTTTCCGAAATAATTTTTGCAGAAAAAATTTTTCATTCATTACTATTTACAATACAATGTTTTTTTTTTTTTACATTCAACGAAAAAAATTTTAAATACTGTGCTATAAGTAGTAATTAGAAAACAATTTTTTTAGCATAAATAATGCATTACATTATTAGGAAAAAATTATAGTTAAAAAAAAAAAAAAAAAAAAAAAATGGAAAAATTATATGTGCCCAAGTTTGGCTGTTATTTTCACTTGTGATATCAATCAGCTAATTTTCTTGAAACAAACTGATCACTCTGCGTGTTTGGGGAATGGACGAAAAAAAAAAAGGGAGAGGACTGCGTCGAGTACTTTCTCGGGCTGACGCCAAGCGGTATTATTCTTCTGAGGAACAAGACCAAAGTTGGCAACTACTACTGGCCGCGCATCAACAAAATCTATCACAAGGCAAGTTTCTGCTCAAATTACTGCCTCGTAATAATATATAGGACTGCAAAGGGGGGCCATTTATTGAGAAGAGTCATTGCTAAGTGTACCAACTGTTTTTTTTTTCGTCCCCTGCACAAATTGTTTGGGCTAATAAGTTGACTTCAAAATTTTTACAAAAATGATAAGGAAATCAAAAACAAATTTAGAAAAATCCATTAGAAGTACATAAAAATCATTTTTCCCTAATAACAGTTTCACGAATGATATACATGGAAAATTCTTTGAAATACAACTTTATCCGGGGACAATGACCTTATTTAAGCTCAACAGCGACAAATGAGAGACAAGTTTTTTGAAACAGAAAAAAAAACCCCCCAGAAATGTATCCCTCCGCTCACCAGATTACGCCAAAATACTGCACGTAGCCACCCCGAAGCAAAATCCCAGACATCCTGACACTCGACTCCGTCCGCGAAATCAGAGTAGAGCGTGAGCGAGAAAGCACCACCCGTACCGTCCAGCGCCCCGAAAATAGCTTCCCTCGTGAGGGGCCTCTCTTTTGTGTGTCTCGACAACCCCAAAAAAAAAAGCCACACCTCTGCTCGCGTATCACAACCGAGCCAAACTTCCTCGCGCTTCGGTGCAACGTAAAGGAAAAAAAAAACTATACCAAAGCAACAAAGGCACGGTCACCGGGTGAAACCCTATAAGATCCCTATATAGCGCGTGAGCCAAGGCAAATTGTGTAACCATATAAAACATATGCCGAATACAACGTGTTGCGCAGGGCAAGTACTTCATGCTGCGAGTGAGCGAGAAGAACTCGGCCGACCGGACGCACGGCTTCGAGACGCCGTCGCGGGGCGCCTGCCGGCACCTCTTCCGCTGCTGCATCGACCACCAGGCGTTTTTCCGGCTGATGGCCACGGGACCACCACCCCTGAGCCAGTACTCGCGTTTCCGCTCGTACAGTCCGCCGATGACCGCGGGCTCAGCGCTTGCCGAGAAGCAGCTACAGGTACGTTGCTCTCCTGCATCTCTATCGAAAAACAAACGCATCCGGCCAATCGGCCCATGTTACAGTACTGGTCGCGCTTTTAGCTCAAGAAAAACTTCACGTCATGTTTTTCTCTGTCAATTGCTCTTATTTTATAAAAACACGATAATTTGTCGTTGCTTAACATTTTTTGTCAAATTGAAAAATAAACAACTACAATGTTTGACCTGGAAAAATTGAAAAGCAAGAGCCCATCGAAGCCAACTGTATATTCAATATATTCAAAAGTACTCGAGAGCGCCTCAGTTTTCGCGCGGGTCAGCGACCGCTTTACCGTTATCCTAGTCATTTTTCAATCTCACGTTTTTGTTGATTTGGGGAAAAAAAAAAAAAACCAGTCGAACAATGTGCGACGACTGGTGCAGCCGAGCTTCCAGCGAATGCCGAGTCGGAGAGTCCAGCGCCGGGTAGTCGAAGGCCAGGAGATGGTCGCGGGTTTCGTGGAGGGTCCGAGTGGCCAGTCAGCCATCCAGGGCTCGATCGTACAGAGCCAGAACTGCCTGGCCCACGGGGGTAGCGTGGCATCGAGGAACAACCCCAGTCCCAGGAGCACGAGAAGCGCCCCGTGGACTCAGAGCCAGCCCCGGGGACTGTACACTTCGTCCAGCCCGAGATCCGTCAGGTCTTGCGGGACCGCGCCAGCTGTAAGTGCCCACAAATGCGTGTCGTTTCCTTTTTCCCCCACAAGGGGTTTTTTTTTTTTTTTTTTTTTTTTCATTGCCCCGTTGAAACGCGGCTGATTTAAGTTACGGTGCATTTTGAAAAACAAACCACAACGTTATGATATTTAAAAAAGCCGCCCTTACGCCCATATTTATTAACATCAAAGGAATTGCACCTACATTTTTCGGAATAAACGTGAGAACAAAAATAACCGCGTAAAGTCGTGAGTCCCAAATGGTGTTATAACTTTGAGATGACGTGTTTTTTAAATTATTAAAGTGATCTAGAAAAAGGGACAATCCACGGGGGATCATCCGTTTTCCGCCAACGTTCCCGGTATCGTCCAATTAAAAGAGTAAAACACACCGCGCGGGCGTCCCGGGAAAATATAATAACCGTGTCCATTAATCCGGTTGCAATGAGCGGGGCAAGGTGGGACGGGGGGTACAAAAGAGCGATAAATAAGCTCGCACGCGGGAATAAATCCCTTAAGCTCCTCAGTCGGCTGAACCGGAGGAGCAGCTCGGTGGAGAGTCAAAGTTCGGCGGACAGTCACAGCCGGGGCACAGGGGGCGGCAGCCATCGCCGGCGCAGCCACAGTCGTGGTCACCGCAAGCACAACCGACACTCGGACTGCGAGTCCCAGCTGTCGCGCGGCTCCACGCAAAAGTCCGGACACAGGAAGCACCGCCGGCGACACAGGAGCTCGAGACACTCCAGGTACACCCTGCACACTTTTGCTTTTCTAACAAATTTCCTTTTTCCTTTTTTCATTACCTAAACGGTTTCACGTGACATTCAATAACGACTTCATTTGCTATCCTTCAAGTTAAAAAGTTTATTGCAATACACGCAATCAGTATTGATCTCGCATCAATTTCAATAAATCAAGTCCACCCTTTGATTTTTTACATTGAAAATTACTTATCTATTTGTGCGATTGTGACTTTTTTTTCTGCATTAAAAATCGCAGTAGGCACGAAATGGTCGACTCGGCGCCACAGTGGCGGGAAGCGCAGCGACGAAAGGGCGAAATCATCCAAAGAGCCGTTGTGAGTATGAATTGTCATAAATGTCGATGACACCTGTCAAACATTTATTTTGCATTGCTGGCAAATCGATACAAAATGGCTTTGTCAATATACAGATAAGCACGACTGAGCCAAGGAGAAGGCACAGAAGCAAACACCGAAGTCCGTCTTCGAAGCATCCACTGCCCGACGAGCTGAGAAAGTAAGATTTACCCTCTTGCAAGAAAATTATATATCATTCAAAAGTAGACACTACACAATTGATGTGTAACTTTGCTTGAAGTATTTTGTTTGGAAAAAAAAAAAAAAAAAAAAAAAAAAAAAAAAAAAAAAAAAAAAAAAAA